GAATGAATGCTAACTAGGAGAAATTTACGTATCACGATCATTATTTTTGTGACATCTGCTCTGGCCTACTGATTCAGAGTTAAGGAGAAGACACAATACTTATCCTACAAGCAAACTGGAAATCTCTTAGCTTTGAGTTGTAGTATTTCCAGATGGTTGAAATCGAAAGCAGACTTCCTCTCCTTGCCTGTTCTGCCAAAGTTTTATGCAGCAGTAAATAAACTCCTATTTGCTTGTGCCGCATTTTATTGCAGAATACACAAGGATTGAGGCAACCAATTTCCCAGGGAATGATTCTCTTCTTGGGGGATTTTGAAGGTTGGGCATTCTGTCTGTCTTAAAACATGAATACATAGCTCACAATTTTAACTTCAGTAATACCGTAGAATTTTGCTGGTTCTTTGGTTTCATTGGATTTTCTAAAATTTGCAGAAAATCCTCTCAAATTCTATTTCTACAGATTGTGTTATAAAAGCACAGTAATGTTTCTTCCTTATACTCTTTAAATGCTAAAATTGCATCATGTAAGTAAAAGCTTAGCACATTATTTTAATTGCATATAGAACAACTAATCTGTTAAGAAATTTATCTTGAAATCTAAATTAAGCTTTAAAAAGTGCTGATTTTTCTTTTCATGTGAATGTGAAGATGAAGATAATAAATTTGACAAATGGATTGATTACTTATATTATAAATATCTAGTTAAAATTCATTCTTAATCTATGATTTCTATCCTATTAATTGGTAGAAACAATACTTTATCCATAAACATTGCTAGATAATATTTTGGGGCCTTTCTTAATATATTGAACAAAGAGCGTATATCCTACTTATTCAAAGAAGTTGAAAAGAACATGCTTGCAAACCAATCATAATGTATATGAAAACTGGTTCTAGAATATGACAAAATAGAATGAAATTGTTTCATGCTATCTATATTTATTTATTTTTAATTTGTATATATCTCATAAATACATTATGTACACAATAATTCTTCCCACCGTACCTGCACTCCCACCTATTCCCCCCCCCATTTTATCCGAGAAAGGAAAATAAAAAAAAGAGAAAGAAAAAAATAATAAATGAAGTAAACCAAAAAACTAAGAGATGTGTTCCTCAACAGTCTATACAAGGTACAAGGGCTGACTTATGCTATTGCTTCTCAAAGGTGATTTCGTTTTTTTCCCTTCCTGTCCTTCTTTCCTTTTAGGAACTTGTCTTTAAAGAAGAACCCAAGGATGACAAATTTTTTTTTTTTTTGACAGGCAGAGTGGACAGTGAGAGAGAGACAGAGAGAAAGGTCTTCCTTTTGCCGTTGGTTCACCCTCCAATGGCTGCCGCAGCCGGCGCACTGCAGCCAGGGCACCGCGCTGATCCGATGGCAGGAGCCAGGTACTTATCCTGGTCTCCCATGGGGTGCAGGGCCCAAGCACTTGGGCCATCCTCTACTGCACTCCCTGGCCACAGCAGAGAGCTGGCCTGGAAGAGGGGCATCCGGAACAGAATGTGGCGCCCCGACCGGGACTAGAACCGGGTGTGCCGGCGCCACAAAGCGGAGGATTAGCCTAGTGAGCCATGGCGCCAGCCAGGATGACACATCTTTTTGAGCTCTTAGACATAACTATGAGACATAATAGTATCCTCCTTTTAATACACTAAAAGGTAATGATTCTTGAGAACAAGTTTTACTATTAAGTTTCATGGTACCACTTTTTGGGGACACAGGTCCGTCATGGGAAGTTAATGCACAGTGACTCTTATTGTTTATTTGACAAATAACACTCATGTATGACATCAGTAATCGCCAAAGGCTCTTTGCATGATCTGCTTCAGATATGGAAGCCTTTTGGATGCACTAGTTAGACAAGGCCATAAGGAAAGTGGAAGTTATCTCCACCCTTTAGAGAAAAGTAGATCCTTCTTTGGTGGCTTCTCTTTTCCACTGGAGTCTCACCCACAGGGGTCCTTTATGTAGGACTTATTTTGTCAGAATGTCTCAGCTTGCCAAGGCTGAAATATTCCCCCAGATTTTCCAGCCAGACTGAAGTGCCTTAGGGCTGATTCTGAGATTGGAGTACTACTTAAAGTGATTGTCATTCTATGAGTCTATATTTAGCACAAAATTAGAATGTAATATTATTTGCAGAATTATATCAATGTTTTTTGCTCTTTCTACCACTATGCATACCAAAGGTGAAAAATTGTTTCCCTAATCTTCAAGTGTGTGGGTCAAGAGTATCCCAAGAACCATGCATTTTTCCCTGACCTCTGCTCTGGAGGTGCCTGAACTGAGTTGAAGCCAGAACTCAGTATGTGCCTGAGAATGTGAGTGGGAAAGATGATTGATTTTGCTACCTAGAATATAGTGATAAATAATCTCCTTTTGCAGGCAAATGAGAAGGATGCAGAACAAAGACTATGGGAGAAATGGTAGAACACGCTGCCTTCCCTGGTGTGTTCCTAAAAACATGTCAATTGTAAACTAGATGCCTCTGCACCTCTGCATCATTATGTAAAAGACAGTATTTGATCGTTGTGTAAACTGCACTATACGGCTTGTTTTTAATCTTTTATTTTTTAAATAAGTATTTATTTATTCAAAAAACGCAAAGATAGAGGGAAAAGCAGAGAGAGAAAGAGAGAGAGAATTTTTCAACTGCTGATTCACTCCCCAGATGACAGTAATGGCTGGGGTCAGCCAGACCAGGCCAAAGCCAGGAGCCAGGAGATTCTGTGGCAGGTGCACAAGAACTTGAGCCATCAGTCATTGCTTTTTCCAGGCCATTATGGGGGAGCTGGATTGGAAGTGGAGCAGCCAGGACTTGAAACAGCATCCATATGGGACACCAATGTCACAGGTGCTGGCTTGACCTGGTACACCACAACATCAGTCTATTTTAGTTTGCATTGTATCTGGGAAGTCATCCCCAGGGGAAGTAATTCTTGAAAGGCAAATGTAAGCCAAGATAGAAGTGGTTCAAGTGAAAAGAAAAGAAGGAAATCTGAATAAAAACACAAAAGTGGGAAACACAGTGTGTGCACGTGAGATTAGTGAACACAGGAAATTTTAACTACCTTGGAATAAAACCCAAAGGTAGAGACAATGAGAAGTACTTGAAGAGTGTGGGGCCAGGTTAGCAGAGGACCTCTACTTAATTCTATGAGTGATGCCAACTGGACATGGAAGGCTTTTAAGAAAGATAATCAAATTATAATATTTGTTTTTGGACGTGTCTGATTGCTTCTGTGATCAGTTGGTTAAAGCACAATAATATTAGAGGCAGTTAGACTGGTCTGGAAGTTGTCACATTATTCTAGATAATAGTGACACTTAGATAATAGTGGCACTTAGTTTCAGAACATATGTCACACAGAGAATTATTCTCTTGTTCTGTCACATATGTGTTCAATGTTGTCTTGCTTGTGAAATAATAAGCAGCATTACGGTGATGATGTGACTCATTCACTATTTTATACCCTCAACATTCAGCAAATTCTGATAGTAATTTATTAATGAATAATTATTTATTAAAACAGGAGCAAATGACCTGAATGAAAGTCTTGCAGATAAATTTAGAGCAAGAAATAGATTCCAAACATATATTTGAAAGCTAGAATATCTAAAACTTTCCAACCAAAGCTAATAATGGCACTTCAAAACCTGGTAATTAAACTATATGAAGCTCCAGAAATAGGTGTAACCAGTGACAACCAGTATAAATTCTGGACTGCTTTTAACTCAAATTCCAGTGTCTCAATTTCTTTATCACATGTGATTAAATCACAAGTGATTTAAACTATCTTCAGATTTAATGGGTTTCAGTTTGCTTGAGTGCAAAATGGAATAAACTACCACTTCATTATATGGTTTTGAAAATCACGGGTCAATGCTTATAAAGCACTTAGACCATAGCTAGGCAAAGAGCATTTGCTCAATGGAAAGTTCAGATTATATTCCCATAAAGACATTAGTCACCAGTGACTGTTTCATTGCAGGGAAGAGACTTTGATTTTATATCTCAACAATACCTCTTCACTTGATCTGCACTCTTCCCTTGAAAGGTTTCACGAGTCAGAAGCCCCAAATTAAGTGATGTGCTAAAGTTCACACAGATTGTCAGTGCCCAAACTCGACTCAGGGCAGGCTGTTTTGATCCACTAGTCACGCTTCCTATTGCATCTATCCAAGGGGGAACCTACTGCAGGCTGTATGGTTGTAAAGAGCTTAAATGTCAGTTTCAAACTGTCATTTACAAAAGCATACGATTGGGAAATCTCAACACTCTCCAGACCTATTCAGTCAGTGGACACATGCTTTGAGAAAATTTTTCAACCATGGGATTTTTGTTATTGTCCTTAGTAGCTATCTCCTATGTAGCTGAAATAGTTTTGTGTTTACAAGAAATACAATGTATTTTTTTAACAAAAAGGTTAATTAAGTTTTGTTCATCATGAGGAATTCCTTTACTCAACTCTAGTTTAAGTAGATTTTCATTAGTTTGTATCTTTCGCAACTATTAAGACTTTTGGGCACATCATGTACAAACTTTTATTTCTCTCTTGTAAAGCATTAACAGAAACTGAAACAAAACAAATGGAAGGCAAACAAATGGACAGTAGGAATAATGGTTTTACAATTCAGCTATAGGCAAAATAAAAGGAGCTAAATAAAAATAGCCTTAACCCTTACTAATGCCATTGAAGATGTGTGTGGCAATGAATTGAGTTCTACGTGGACAGACCCTGGTAAGGAAATTTTTCTGAAATGTGCTGACCAGTGTGGAGTCAAAATTTTATGAAGCAATTTACCAACTCACTTCCTGCTATCAGATTCAAGCAAGGTCAGCCAAAACATTTTCTGTCAAAAGTTACTTTGAATTGTAGAAAGAATAAAGAAAGTATTTTAAAAAGATCTCAAGATGAGAGTCAAAACTTCATTAAAAAAAATTCAAAGAGAATTGAATATATGGACAAAGAATGAAGCTCTAATCTTTTGTTACCTCTTGAGAGAGTCATCGTCTGTTGTGATCCATGGACAGGACTGATCTCTGTAGCTTTGTTTTTCTTCTGCTGGAGAGGAAAAGACTTTGAGGCTGAGCTCTCAGGACATTGCATAGCAGTTCGGAAGTGACCTCATGCTCACTTCCATATAAAAATTATGGGCACACTTTGTATCCCTTTGTCTCTGCTTGCTTGATTTTGTGCTTTTTATGCCCTTTTAATATTTTGTACCCAGTGATTCATTCTTTTATTTTACAAAAATAATAGTCAAGAATGAATTGGGGAAGAAAACTAAAATCGATCCATTGCTGCAAATAGTGTCTTCTGTTCTAGAAAGAATTATAAATTTATAACCATGTCTTTAAAACCGGGGAGGAGGGACACAGAATAGTTTATTCTCAGTAAGGGACAATAAATGAAAGTGAATTTTACTTTGTCTAGAATTCCTACTTTAAGATATGCAAAGTGTTATTGGCAAAATTATTATTGAATTTATCCTTTCTATTTTGATATATGTGAAAAATATGAGGGTTTTTGAAATCGCATTTATGTTTGGAAAATAGCTTGACCTTGAAGTCATATAATTTTTGTTTTTGACAGGCAGAGCTGGACAGTAACAGAGAGAGAGAAAGTTCATCCTTCGTTGGTTTACCCCCCAAATGACCACTTCGGCTGGCGCTGCAGCCAGAGCGCCGCGCCGATCCAAAGCCAGGAGCCAGGTGCTTCTCCTGGTCTCCCATGCAGGTGCAGGGCCCAAGCACTTGGGCCATCCTCCACTGCCTTCCTGGGGGCCACAGCAGAGAGCTGGACTAGAAGAGGAGCAACCGGGACAGAATCCGGTGCCCCAACCAGGACTAGAACCCAGAGTGCCGGCGCCGCAGATGGAGGATTAGCCTAGTGAGCCGAGGCGCTGGCATTTGAAGTCATATAATTTTGACAATTTTTTTTGGCATCAAAGCTTTTGGGGAACATAGCCCCTCAGTGACATGGAATAGGCATTTTTGATTGTAAACCTGTACCTCTTATGGAAAGAGGTCCCCTATATTAGGTACTTCTAATAGTACATATGCAACATTTTTTTTTATTTTTCTGAATTTATTTATCTATTTTTTTCTTTTGGACAGGCAGAGCTAGACAGTGAGAGAGAGAGACAGAGAGAAAGGTCTTCCTTCCGTTGGTTCACCCCCCCCAAGTGGCTATTACTGCCGGCGCACCACGCCAATCCGAAGCCAGGAGCCAGGAGCCAGTTGCTTCCTCCTGGTCTGCCATGCAGGTGCAGGGCCCAAGCACTTGGGCCATCCTCCACTGCCTTCCGGGGCCACAGCAGAGAGTTAGACTGGAAGAGGAGCACCCGGGACAGAATCTGGTGCCCCAACCGGGACTAGGACACAGGGTGCCAGCTGCCGCAGGCAGAGAATTAACTTATGAGCTGTGGCACTGGCCTGAATTCATTTATCTTAAAAAGTATAATGATGTTCACATTAAATTTCTATCATTTTTCCCCCTGTGGTCTAAATTCCTTTGAACATTTCTATCATGCTTCTTGTTAGGAGCTGTGAGGGAACTAGGCTTGGTATTAGGTGATTTATTTTATCTATTTATTTTTAACAATTTATTTATTTAAAATTCAGAGTTACACACAGAGAGAAAGAGAAACAGAGAGAGAGGGAGATAGAGAGAGAGAGAGAGAGAGGTCTTCCATCCACTGGTTCACTCCCTAGTTGGCCTCACCAGCCGGAATTGCACCTAACCAAAGCCAGGAGCCAGGAGCTTCTTCTGGATCTCCCACACAAGTGCAGGAGCCTAAGGACCTGGGCCATTTTCTACTGCTTTCCCAGGCCATAGCAGAGAGCTGGATGGGAAGTGGGACAGCCAGGACTTGAACTAGCACCTGTTTGGGATGCTGGCACTGTAGGCATCGGCTTTACCTGCTATGCCACAGCGCCAGCCCCAGGTGATTTATTTTAAAAAATCAATACAAATATATAGAAAATGTTCATATCCACTCTAAACAAAAGATAAAAAACAAGCAGCATTACAAGTAGACTTAAGTGCCAAGTGATCAATTTCAATCCACAATTGATCACACTGATAGGTCTAAGAGTCAAAGGGATCACATAAACAAGACTAGTGTCTGCTAATACTAAATAATAGAATTAAAAAGGGAGAGAATGATCCAACATGGGAAGCAGGATACACAGCAGACTCATAGAAGGGCACATGTCCTAAACAGCACTCTGTCCTCAGAATCAGCCCTTAAGGCATTCAGATCTGGCTGAAGAGCCCATGAGAGTATTTTAGGCATGGAAAGCCAAGACACTCTGGCAAAAAAAAAAAAAAAAATCTAAATGAAAGATCTCTGTGAATGAGATCCCAGTGGAAAGAAAGGGCCATCAAAGAAGGAGGTACCTTTCTCTGAAGGGAGTAGAGAACTTCCACTTTGACTATGATCTTGTCTAAATAAGATCAGAGTCGGCGAACTCAAAAGGCCTCCATAGCCTTGGCAACTCATGACAAGAGCCTAGAGAGATTACTGATGCCGTAAACAAGAGTGTCAATTTGTTAAGTCAACAACAGGAGTAAACTGTGCACTTACTCCTCATGTAGGATCTCTGTCCTTAATGTGTTATTCAATGTGAATTAATGCTATAACTAGTACTCAAACAGTATTTTACACTTTATGTTTCTGTGTGGGTGCAAACTGTTGAAATCCCTACTTAATATATACTAATTTGATCTTCTGTATATAAAGAGAATTGAAAATGAATCTTGATGTGAATCGAATCAGAGAAGGAGCGGGAGATGGGAAGGTTGGGGGTGGGAGGGAAGTTATGGGGGGAAAAAGCCATTGTAATCCATAAGCTGCACTTTGAAATTTATATTTATTAAATAAAAGTAAAAAAAAAAAACAAGTAGACTTAAGTGGCACCCTTGCCTCTGTGTACCTCCAGGGTGATCTGCCCATCCAGGACAGACCCCCTGCACACAAACACCCTTTTGAGATAATGCTCTGCGAGTAAAGGACCATGGCATTTCCTGCACCAAAGACCGCGGCCTACTTCCAGGCTTTTGGGACCATCTCCCCTGTCTGCAGTCTGGAACGTGAGTGTCAGTGTCCTGGGCTCACTGAGAGGCCACAGAGCATCTGCAGGGGAAGTTTCCCACAGGGATTTGAAATGCATTCTGGGATATCCGCATGCTTACAAAATGCTTATTGCAAGGAACTCAGCTGGAGGGTGGATGCAAGGATCTTAACTGTACTGAATTGGCATTGAACTTCTTTTCATATTGGCAAAGATCTAAACACATCCCATGGCAGCAGTGTTAGAGAAGATGGGTGAAAGCAAACCTTGTTAAGCATCCTTGCTAAACAGCTTCACTTTGAGGACTTACCTCACACCTGTATGCAATAGACAATAAAAACATCTATTTTTTCATGGATTCATTTATTACAAAATAGATCAGCCTATGATCCAGATAATATTTTAGATCCCAGGAGTATAGCAGTAAATAGGAAAAGCAAAACCCCTGTCTTAAAAAAATTATACTTTAGTGAGAAGAGAATAAACAAATAAATTAATGAACATGTTTATATGAAATTATAAAAGAATAGAAAAGGTGAGGACTGGGAGACTCTCTAGAGATATTATAGATAGATTATAGATTAATATATATCTACACACATATTTATACAGAGACACATATATAAATGAGTAATTTTACCTAAACAATGATATAGCAGCAAACAACACACAAAAAAATAAAATGTTCATTAAAATGGAATAGATTAAAACAACAAAGAAGCAGGTAGGTAAATAACATCCATTGTTCATCACAGAGCTGCTAAACAATGAGGTTGTGCTCTCTATGTTTGCTGGCAAAGTAACATCTCCAACACAGAGCAAAACATACAGAACATGTGTATATCCTAAATTTATTTAAAATAAACAAATATACATGAACATATGCACATATGTGTACATACACCTCTCTCTCACACACACATGTGCAGATACCTGGTTGTGTACCTGTGCCTGTACATATGTGTAGGAAATTTCTGGGCAGCCAGAGCAGGAAGAGTTAACAATGATTTCTTTGGCCAAATGGAGAGGGAAGTAATTATTCATTAAAAACCCTTTGTCCTGTCTTAACTCCTTACCATATGCATTTACTACTCTTTAAACAAATGGTTGTTTTAAAGCCCCTGATCAGGTTAAAAAGGAAGTGAGAAAGTGTAGCCCAAGTGCAGTGCAACTCCAACCCGGGCTTGTGGGATGGTTTCAGAGGATAAAATGCTTCCTCTGGGGGAAGGAGGTGTGAACCTTGGCAGTTGACACAGATGAAACCCACTGAGTACATTTCCAGAGATCAGCCTGAAGTGTGGAGAAGCAGCTGAGCCAGTTTTCATAAAGGGGTGTTTTTCCTCAGATAAAATTTAGAATAAATGGAATCATCATCATCCAAGGTTTCTGCTTTGGGAAGCAAGATCACTGTAGCAAGAGGTTGTGTTATGGTAGTGATAAGGTTGGGCAGGTTCTTCATAGTGTCTTTACAACATACTATGAGCCCGGAATGAAAGAAACGAGCAGAGGTTTAAGGTGCTGTAGTAGGAGGGGGCATGGTCCTCGAGATGTAGAGCCGAGAGTGACTCCTTCTAAAGGAAGTTCCAGAAACAGTCTCTCTGGGGATACAGAGAGGGCAGCCAGGCAGAGAGAAAAGAGGGCGCTAGGGTACAGCCCTTCATTTTCAATGGAGGAGACAACGTAGACCTGGAGCAGATCCCTGGTCTCTGGACACCAGGACCCTTGCTCCAGGAAGGGGCTGAGATATCCAGGCCTTACAATGGTGTAGAAGAGTAAATGTACCTATTAGGAGGCTGTGATCCAGTACCAGTCCATAGGTTAAGGCACCTTTGCCCTCCTGCAACCTTCATTGTGCCATGTTCTTAGCTTGGTACTCAGATTGCAGAAGCAGAACAACCTCATGGAGGAGCTTTATGAATGATTCAAGGTACCCAGACAAAGAGTAAATTTAGTATGTACTAAAGAATATGAATTCTTACAAGTTATT